TTGATTTTCTATCAGACCAACCAATTGATCTGACTATTGTAAATTAAGTCTGCAGCCTCAACTGATATACAATGTGAATTTTAAGTGAATAAAACTTGTTTAACTGGTAGCACTAGTTGTATTAGCTGTTGAAGTTAATCTTGATTTCCTCTCTTCTTCCATAGCCTTGACCTTATTCCACATGTCTGGCGTGGGACTGGTCTGACACTGACTTACAGCTTGTAGTCTGCAATAGAGGGAAATGATAACTGACTTATTACATCTGTTGCAACTTAAATGTGTCTTCATAGACAAAAGGCAGCTCAGTGATAAAGACTCTAGCTTTCATCATGACTAATACATATTGAATTTTACAACCCAGTTTCAGGCAGGTCGGTGGGGGGCAGATATGGAAGGATCTATTAGTCCCCGCACACTGCATGGTATTTCTTGCACTCAGGCCTTAGCAGGTGTAAAAAGAGTAAAAAGTAAAACTGCTAAAATATAAGACAAGGATTCGAAGAACTGTTCCTGATGAGTGAAAAAAAAGGTGCTCAAACAATAAATGTTGCATCACTGCACACAAATACAGTCTGAAGTAGTAAGTGGTATTCATAATAACTCACCTTAATAAATTTAATAAGGAATGAAAATCTTCAATAGACATTGCTTTAGGACTATCTTTTCTTGAATTAACAAAGTCATCTTGAATTATCTGATAATAGTGAGAAGAAACAACAAAATAAAATCATAACTTGTAAGCTCAGACAGAAGACTAAAAGTGTCCACAGTTTTGCAAAGTTACAGATATTGCAGAGATTTGCAGTATTTTACTCAAATTGAACTGTGGATAAAAGAGTGTATAAATAAACGTACTGTTTGTAAGTCTTCAGAGACAGTATAGTCTATCAACTGTGTTAAAGTAATATATGTTCTCAATGTGTTTAACCATTCTTCATTTAGTTTACTGTCTAATTCTTCAAAATGCTTCTGAATGTCTTCTGGTGAAGCTTTTTTCTCTAAAGGTATTTGGAAGTCACTCTGAAATACAAATACTCAAATTTAATAATGGCCTTGAATGAATTTACTTTTTTATTGTTGAAACTCTTAAAGATATGAGCCTGATGCTGCTGATACATATTTTGGAAACACAACTCTTATTAGAACTGCCAGTTTTAGAAATGGGAGTCAACTTTCAAAATTAGGTTCTAGGTGTATGGGACATGTAAGAGAACTAAGAAGAAATGATATTGAAACAGTAACTTACTGGTAATAAAGACTTGCCCTCTGATAAAATTAAAACATTAACATTGGTTTGAAACTGTTGTGAATGAAAGGTAAAATCATATTCTACTTTCTGCCATGTTATTAAATTTCCAAGAGCTGTTATATTCTTTACTCCTATAATAAAATTAACTTATTTTTAACATAACACAATAACTAAAACCATAGAGATTTATTAAGGATTTCACTTAAAACAGATATTGCCCTTACATATCTTTCACTGTTATAGTATGATTTGTCATTGCCATCCTTTAATACAGGTTTAATTTCAAAAACACAATATTTTCACTGTTAAAATAGTGCTCAATACATCAGGTTTAGAGAACCTGAAACTGTTTAACTACACTTCGAACGTTTGTTTAAAGAAGTGTGCTTAGGGGCATCAATGATGGAAATCTTTTCAGTTAAACACAGGTTACATCCTTTAGTTTTATTTGTAGACCTTAGTTCTATACTTCTAATGATTTATTAAAGAAATAATATAGCCTTTTGTCTTGTGATTAACAAATTTTATTTCATACCTTGAGGATTAAGTTGACCAGCTTCAAGAACTGTTTCATCTATAACAAGATGTGTATTATCAGACAACTGTAATATACCACTCTCTAGTCTATTAGCTTTTAGATCTTTCTTAGGTATTAACTTCATACTATTCATATTGTTAATAGTCAATGGTAATAGATGACACTGAAATAGCAACCATATTACATGTATTTTACCAAATATTTTACCTTATAAAACCCGATTTGTGATATTCATTGATCAATAAATATTTAGGTTCTCTCTACATTTTCATTTTATTATATGATATTTGAAATCAAATTGTTGAATAAATACCTTAGTGACTAAAGCTGATATAAATCTGTTTATTAATCCACCATAATATCTAGAGTTAGGACAACCACTGATATTTAAAGTTAATTTACCTAATGGCATAACATCAGCTCTACCATACCTAGAAAATGACCATTAATAAAATATCCACGTGACAGAGTATCAATAACAAATACTAGAAGTATACCTGGACATGGATACAATTATGTTCTTCATTGCTTGTTAAGAGGAGAGTGATTATCATCATCAAAATGTCTCAAGTTAATATTCAAAATAATCCATTCTCCAATTACTATATCATTCAAGGAAAATACTAGAAGTGACCATATGGTATATTTTGCAAGGACCATTGCACTCATTTCATCCATCGACAAAATCGCTCACAACTTGTACAGTTATTTGCAAATCTTTTCCCTGAAACATTTGTTGATTATGGCAACATAATGTCTAGATCATGTCAAATATAAATTTATCAGTCCCGTTCTCCAATAGAATATAAACTACTTACACTCTAGATATAAGATGTAAGAGGAAGAATTCAGCAGCTAGTTTATCACCCAGTAAAATATGTTCCAAAGTAGATAATAACTCTTCTCTTATTTTACTCACTTCTGTCTTTACTTGGTTTAATTCTAAAACAATACAAAATAGGATTTCTAAACTTTTAAATATCAACTTAAATATAACATTTTAAGGTTTTAATTTTACAAAAAATATCACAAAATTAAATTCTTAAAGTCAATTTGTTAACATACAAAATTCTATTCTTACAATATATATTTTCTGTGAAATGTGGCCCTGTTATCTGAAAAAGATTCCATCATCAATTTCACTTAAAATGGGAAGTGATTGATTAAATGAAAGCGGCTCCTCTTAATGCCATTAAAATAATTGATGGATATACCAAAACCAAATAAATGTAGATTTGGTTAGAAAATTCCCCGTTTCACGAACAGCATACCAAAGTGGGCATATTTTGATGTGATCCATTGTCTTTGAAATAAAGAAATCAGGGTATATGTACTTACTGATAGTAAATTCTATATGTTTGGTATCTGATAGTACTAGAGGATTAGTATGCTGTAATTTGGTATGTAATAAAACATGTAGGCGTGGCACCAATGATGGGGGTGGGGAATGAACTTGTCTTTCTTCTGGTGTTTCAAATTCTGGTACTAAACTTTCTTCACTAGAAAACATGACATGACATCTTGAAATATGAACCTTTTCAAAAACATAACATTTTCTATAATATTTTTCATTGAACTAATGCAAATTCTAGAAGTATCCATTATCCATAGTGTTTTTGTCATCTATAACCTGTGCTTTTTATATTCCATTGAAAGATTAAAGCAAATTTGTTTGGTGTGTATCTCTCAGAGGAGTGGGTAGGGTGAGTAATTAGAATATTTTTATGCACGGCATGTATTTTATTGTATTGGCATGTTTTGAAAACATCGTTAGTTGACAAATTAATCATAAATTTATATTATATTCCAGTTAACCTTTGTCCACATACAAGACCACACACAATATTATTGATTAAAAGACTGTTTTAAGTTTTTAAGTCTTGGCCTACCTGTTTTAAGTTTTTAAGTCTTGGCCTACCTGTTTGAATTTTCAAATTGTGCCATGGCTGGATCAACAGATAAAATACCAATAAATTCTACACAATCATTCACTTTAAATGTATCAATTTCATCATAAATCTACAAATATAACATAATAAACAATTACATAATAAACAAGTCAAATTATTGTTAACAAATGAAACTATATAACATGCCTTACTGCATTTTAAAACACTAGGCCTTTCTGATATCATTAAAAAAATTCCATTATGTTGCAGACAGTATATTAAGTTGTATTTGCTACTTTCTGTACAAAAGAGACAAAACTTTACTTGGTACAAACAAAGACTTATGTATATGACTAAGATTTTTGTCAATAGTGTCCGATATAGATATCTGTATCAACCAATGCCTTCATCATAATAATGTTTAATAACATACCTTAACAAGACAGGTAAGTCCTGTTTCACCAGGTAATGGATGGTTTAAATCTGGTTGTTTACATCTTACATTACCATTTACTGTAATAGATAATAATTGATATTTTACTTCAATTCTAAAACTGAATGACATTAATCCACCACAACATATGTACCATTTCATTTCACAGAAAATACCTTATCCCCTTTATTTACATGAACAAGATGTTCTTGTTCCAAGGTAAATAAATTTGAAAAGTATTTCACCCCTTATCCAAATCCTAGCTTCAATGGCTTTTCTTAAGGTTACTGAATAACTAAACTGACAATTGGAAAAACTGTTATATGACATGAATTGTGTATATATCATATATCAACTAATTAACTATTAACTATATTACTAGTGGAAGCAATACCTGGATTGGCTTGATTACCATTAATACCATTACTACCGTTGACAGGACCATTATCAGAATCTCCATTCATAGGATTAGCATCATCACCATTAATATTAGCATGCTTCTCTCCTCCCATCTCATCATCTACATCATCCAAGGGTCGTTTTAGTCTGGATCGAGTAGATGCTGTATCTTTATCATATTTGTTCTGTTTGGTATGACCTTATGAACAGTTAAGATCAATTTTTTAAATTGCTTGGAATGACAATCAAGAAAATAAAAGTTTAATTAATAGTTCAGAGTAAAAGATGGTAAATTTGATTATTGTGAATCAAATTCTTGATCCTTATTTTTTGTAAAATTTATTTCACAGTATAGAATATTTCCAGAAACACATATTTGATAGATAACACAAGCTGTTTTGGCAGTGAAAGAGCTGACTGAAACGAATCAGATTTCAGATTCGTAAGAAAAATTCAGAAGCAACTACCAGCTGTCAGATTTTAATGCCTATCCCATTAGTAGTTCTTTGTCGATTCATTCAGATGCCCAAATTTTGATACTGAGAAATTTAAGATTAGGTCATACTAAATGAAAATGTAAAATTCAAATTTTTTATATAGATACCAAAATTAATCTGGATGCAACCCTGAAATCAGAATTGCTTATGCCAGATAATGATGGGTCTTTTAACAGCACTTTAATTTCAACTGTCTTTTTTTTCATGTTATATATTATCAAAGGATATTAGTTTGACCCAGTCTGATTCACCAGGTATAGGGACACAGTAAAATGTCTGTCTATCCATTGGTTGATTTCTTCTAGAGTCTGTATTAATAACTTGTTGAGGCTGAAAATATAAATATTCTATCTTAAATAATGCAGTACAAATTGCAGACAAAAAAGCAACTGTTAATCAAAAATTTTGAAGGAAATAAACTTGAACATGTAAACTCTCTGTAAGTGATAATGTGATGACAAATCCAGTTGCTGAGTGCATGCAAATAAAATCGATCACATTCATGAAAATAAATAAACAATCACGTACTTCAGAATACTTGATTCATATTTTTGTAAACTGTAAACTTTCAATTACCGGTATATATAAATTACACAAATTTTGATAACATATTTTGAGAAATAGGGTAAGCTTATTTAAGAGGTATTCAGGATTACACTTACAGAGCATTCGGCAATATCTTTATATTTACCACACACCAGCTTATCTTCTCCACTAGATAGATCACTGATTTCATATACACCTAAATATAACTCAGGATCAAACATGTCCTGTATCATACACCGATATTTTACTATTGTATTAGGTTTAAGATTGTGGAGAGCAACATCATTTAATGATGGAACCTGAAAAAGAGAAAATAAAAATTATGAATATTGAAATCTGATGTCTAAGGTATAGGCAAGATTAAAGCATAGAAATAGCAAATCATGTCATGTACAGATTTCTTTGCTCTAACCCACTGTGCTACAAAAAATGATAAGATTTCCTGTTAAAAATCAGCTTGTATTCAAGGAATTCATCTAAAGTCAAAAAGGTTTGAATGGCAATCTTTTCCAGTTATAACATGGCCCAAACCTCTTGTCACCAAGGCAAAGTTAATTGAGATGGCCGGTCAAATTCATGTTCATTTGAGAATGCAAATTAATAGTCAGCTATCGCATAGTTTGTTTATGTATCAGTTAGTTTCAAATATTCGTCTTAGAAAATAAATTATACTGTAATTCACAGTTTATGCAAACTAAGCTACAATTTATTCTTCCTCAACGAGTTATATCTTACCCATGATCTGGCCTCTTCACTCTGTAGTCTTTTCGAGAAATATTCTTTGACTGGATCAGATGAAAAACCACCATTACTTTGTTCTGAAAATAACAGATAGATATTGGGGCCTATTGAAAAGTCAAAAAGTTTGAAAAAGAAGATGGTTCTAACTCGTTAAGTAGGCCTATAGATCTAAGTTTTAAGTTATAAGACAATAGCACATCGGACTGACATGCTTTTTAATATCAATAGCTTTAATCCTATCTTTACCACACTCAGAAACTTTATTGCTAGTTTAAAATTGCTTGAAATGAGACACAGAGAATGAGACTGGGGAGAGACACTTTATTTTTTTCAATGACAACGTCATTATTTCAATAATGAACAAGACTTAGCTTAGAGATCTACTTACCAAACAAATGTTGAATGATTGTCAAGGGACAGTTCATCCAATCTTCGACACCAGGCATTTTTGTTGATTTTTCTTATGGGCTTTAATTGCTTTAATTAAAAGACCAAAAGGGCTTTAGATCGGTATAAAAGAGTCGAGAAAGAAACCAATGTGTGAAGAAAGAAGGGCGCGAAACTTAACTTCCGGTTTAAATGGCACATTGTTTTGAGCTATTTTTTCATAAAATGAATTTACTTTTGTTGATTTTGAATTGTATTCGTATCAACTGCAAAAGCATGGAGCGTGAGTAAAAAAAAAACTAACCATAATAGTTTTATAAATGTGCCCAAAATGTGCATTTGACAAAATGGTCCATACCCATTGTGGAACAAAATCGAACAGACCAAATCGCCCTCTCAAGTCATAATGATCAGACTATTATGCTATGCCTGGATTATTGAGATATTAATATAGAAAAGATTTTGCAAATTGTTACCAAATCATTTCATTTGGGAAAAAAGTTAAATGGAAAATACCAAAATATTAAGGGGGCACCCCTTTTGAACTAAAAAACTGGATGGCCGTTATCAGCTGGTGCAGCATCAGAGGCACAATGTTGGAGGGATTTTCCACATTCTCAATTTGAGGAGGCTTAAATAATTTTTTTCAATGCTTCAATTTTATGCACATAGTCTAGATCTTCCATCCACAGCAGCCTCCCCATTGGCTAGTATAGGCCTACAGTTGATTGATTGTAAAACTGTGTGTCTAAGAGAATTATGTTAGTCAATGCCTTTGAAATGAAATGAATGGAGATTTATGTCCTACTTGGTCAATTCCTTTGAGTAAAGCACAATCATGTTATGATCTTTGGTTCATAAAAAGGCAAAATTTTAATAAAAGATTTTATTAAAAAGAATAAAGTGATTATTGAGATATAAAAATATGATAAAAATGATTTATATACTATATGTTATTAAAAACAAATGATTAAAATCATGATCTGATCATGAGGGAATGTTAATATTGGGTCCAAGTTAACATGAATTTTACAAATTACTGTAACTATAAAGATGATATGTTAAATTCTTTAATAAGTCCTGCAAAATATATCTCATGGATTTTTGTACAAAGGATTGTTTTATCTCATTATCCATATACAGAAGTTTTCTTATTGGAGTAATAATTTAAAAATCTCAAAATATAAAATATTAGAAACGATTTTAACCTTCAAATATAAATTTTCTATGTTGGCCAATTTGTGATACATTTGCTAAATAAATCAAATTAGTACCAAAAATCATTGAAAAAATGAAATTTTGAATATAAATTAGTTAATATTTAATCAAAATTGCTACTTATTTTCAATACTGAAAAATTTGAGAATAAATAAAGTTCTATTCCTAATTCATTAATCTAGCACTGTACAATTATAGATATCGCAAAATATAGTAGAAATGAATTTATATTATATTACAAAATGTTTATAAAAATGTCTATTTACAATGTTCAATGTACAAAAACAGTTATCATTACATAGATATTCATTTTACATGGTTAATTACATCGTCATTATCCTGAAAATTGAATTTACAGGGTAAATCAGGGGAAATTGAAAGTGGAAGGTATAGTAGAATTATGTATCAAAGATTCAATATGATGAAAGTTCACATGTCCTGTGATGTGTGAATAAAATTATGAAGAATCCCTGCTTTATAAATTTGCAGTAAGTCTTATACAATATAATAATGTTTTTTTGATGGACTTTCAAATATATTGGAATTTAAAAATGGAATGAACAAAATGGAATCATGTGTGTAGTGTAAGATTTCACAAAAATCATAAGATTATTTTTAAACCATCAAAAGTCTCAAGAAAAACAATTATTGAACATAGCAATGGAATTAAAACAGTATTTTGACCATTATAAGAGAGAGAGTTATAAGGAAGGTAGAGGTATATAATGATGCACTTCCTGCGTACACACAAGTATATTTCTCCACTGTTTTTATTTGAGATATGAAGTTTGGACCTAGCCAATCTTCATAGTTCTGTTGAGCAGGGTATATCTTCATCAATCTGACAGCAGCGTCAGTAAATAGAAGATCTGTATAGGATGTACCAGATGCAAACATGTGAAAATCTCCATCACTGAAATAAAGTCGAAAAAATTCATAAATTGCATCCATATTGCTATACATATTTCATCTCATATGATCTCGATGATTGAGAAAAATAACACAGCACTTGAATGCAATGCTTAAAGAATCAGATGTACATGAAATGGAGTTTTAAATTCTACTTTTCTGATCTAATTGAGCTAATAAAAGCAGGACAGATTCAAATGCAGAGGAAATGAATATTAGTATACTACTTTGCACCTATGCAAACAAGGAAATGGTAAACAATGCAGTGTACAATGAGGGAAGTCAAGACAAGAGAACAGCCTCTTCTGACCTGCTCAATTAAAATGAAATAAATATGTTTTTTCTAGACGTCTATACTTACATGTCAGATGAAAAGAACTGCTGGCCATAATTTAACAGATTCCAATAAATTTCCCTTTCTTGATCGGTTTTAAATTCTAAAAATATATCATACAATTTTAGAATTTAATACAATACAATACAATTTAATCTATAGCTCAAACCATAGTTTTTAAAAACACTCAGATATTAAGAGGGTATGGAAACAGAAACTCTCAGCTTCTACTAATATCTCTTAGACATGGTGCCTAGAGAGGGGAGTTTGTGACTACAGGTTTCTCCACAGGAGCAGCTTTCAATTTCTTGATTTTCTTGAAAACAGTCTTAGATTCAAGACTTTGAGTAAAATATACAGGATTCACATTTTAGAAACACAAAAAGATTTCAGTAATGAGGTCCTTCTCTTTGAAATAAATTCAAACATTTGTGAAGCAGGTCTTTAAGGCCAAGTGCTTTTTCTATGTATCTTTTTTAAAGAAGACCTAGTACTGAATAATTTAATGTAACTGATAATTAACTTACTAGCTGTAACAATGGCATTAGCAGGAACAGAACCAAGATGACATTCCTTCCATCTATCAATACCAATACGTCTTCCATCTTTACACATCAGTTCATAATCATCAGATCTTCGATTACGAGACCACTGGGCGTGATTTCTACCGTCAGTGTTATCTCTCACTGTTAAATGTCTTACAAACGATACATCCCCTCCACCTGGATAGACATAATTACAATTTAAATATTAATTTCTTGTAATAATTCAAAATACATAAAAAAAATAGTAAGATTATTTTATCTAGACAATTAATTAATGTTTTGCTCATTTATTAACCCCATCAGTGGCATTTCTCTATGGATCCAAGAGTGTCATTGCCTCCCATTAACAAAGGGTGGCTACTAGTTGGTGAAAACCTCCTTTGCATGCTTCAGTGGAATAAAAATATACAAAAGCTAACTTACGTTCCACTAAACATCTGAATGCTCCACTAGCACCATAGTATTGTTCTAGACTGTTTCTCTGGCACCGTCTATAACCATTAGCTCCACATCCCTCACACAGATTAATAGGGGTTTGTTTAGGGTTGTATTCTTTATCTAGAGCTCCTGGTATACAGCTTCTAATAAACAATTGACCTGCAATAGAAAGTGATTAGAGTTGTCAGTAACCTAGAGAAAGCCAACAGATATAATAATAAACATTTCGTCATGCACACAACAATGTCATGAGTATGTTATGTGATGATATGAATATTAATTATGTCATGAATATTTATTAGCGTGGTCATCCATGTGGGATAGGACTTTGATATGATGTAGCTTCACCATGACAAGTAGATATGTCTCTTATAAACTATAACAGGTGATTTTAACAGATCAACAAGACTTCATGTGATACATCTTCATATTCCAATGAATTCACGTGTTTATAACAATATTGAAACATCCTTGTTTCATGTACTGAAATCAAAGTATTTCCCCAAAAATGGAATACAAGCTCAAAAGCCATGACAGCAGGCTGATGCACATAAATCTTCAATGAATTCCATAAATAATTGAAGATAGTTTTTAGATATTTGTGTAATAGTAAACATTATCTCACCTAAATTTTCAAAGATAGAACAATCTTCTGGAATAAACTGTTCAGTTTCTATGTAGATATTTAATGGTATAATCCAACCATCACCTCTACCAATACCTGTCTGACATGCTCTTTTACCTGAAATTGATCAACACAATAAATTAATGAGTCTCTCAGACCACAAAACATAGGATAGCTTTATTGAGATTAATTAAGGTGTTGTTTCTAAACAAATGCTGATGGTATCAACATCCATAAAATTTTACTGGCTTGTTCATTCTCATATTGATGCACTTGTTTCATACTATAAAGCCACCTTTCATGGTTTACTAGGTTATAAACTCATTGGTTATAATATGGACTTAGGTATGAAAATAAGTTATGTTCACATACTTTTCATGTTAAAGAGAGTCAAATGAGCATCTGTTTTTCTGGCTACAGCTACCACTTTAAATGATCTGGTCATATCTCCATAATCTTCAGCAGCAAATGGTACTAAATCATATTTCCTGAAACAAAAGTCAAATGTATAGGCTACTTGACTTTAATTAGTAAATATGTTGTAAGCCAACCAGGCCTCAGATGCCAAAAACCTTCCATTTCTACACCTTCTAGACCAACCTTCTGTCTTGTGCATAAAGCTCTTGTATAATGCCTTTCAGTTTGACAGTTTCAATAAGAAATCCAGTGACTCATTATGAGCAGTACTACAATCTCTGAGATAAAATGGTATGATATTAAAGTCATGGGTTAATTTTGTGGATGTATCTCTGTTTAGTGGAGAGAGAAATTAATTTAAGACATTTAACTGAACCTACTTTCCGCCAAGGTAGACATCACCAGCATCTAAATTCATCAAATCAGCATCTCCTTTACTGATCATATCCATACAGTTAGTGGTGTTTCCTCCCAGTAGACAATCCAACTCTGGTCGTAAATCTTTAGCTTTGAAGGCCATAATCATAGATTCACATTTCTCTTTCTCTGGTTGAGAGATAACGCACCATCTAGCCTTGGCTATCGGACATCTTGTTAAATCATATAATATATCAATGAAGTCTGGGCCTAGAATAATATAAAGTAAAACTCTTTATGATACAATAAATAAACAAATCAAGTACTATCAAGCGAGAAATCCCAAAACAACATCATCTGAAAACTTGGTGCATTGTTGATGATAGGCACCTAAATGAAGGACATCTCCAAACCATCATTTACTCAAACAAGAACTGAATATTGCAGAGAATTGCAGAAGACCATTAATCATACAGATTCAAAAAGACTTTAATGTAAACATAAAACTTGACTTGAAAAATTGATCATGAAGACTTAGATTGGTTTCACTTGGCATTCAGATCAAAAATATTTACTGACCACTTCCAACAAATCTATCCAATACTCTATAAACTTTACTACACCAAATTTGATAATTCAGAAATTGCCAAAAAATATATCTTGAGCTCTCTATGAAAATGCCTTTCTCAGACTGCATGATCTTTCATGTGTACACATTGTGTCACAAAGATTTAAGAGGTTTCATCACATCAACCAACTAGACAATCAAGCAAGCCAAAAAAACAGGATTGACAGAATCTCCATCATCCGACGCACAAAACTTCCTGGCAGGCCTGGTATAATTGAATTCTGTTATTGTAATCAGCTGTAATCAATTAAATATTTTCAATGTATCAGATGTAATCTTTAACATGTTAGCTGAGCCTCATGAGGTTCTTCAAATTGAGAATAAAAGTTCACTCACCAACCCAATCATAATAATCTACATCACCAATATCCATCAATTTTCTTGTTCCATCAGAAAACAATAAATTCTTCCTCTTATCGATCAATCCAGTCTCACTGTAGTCTCTATCAGAGTTAAACAGGTTGAATTCTTGAAAATACTGTCCAGTAGGGCTGTACCAGTCACTGATTGCTTTGAGGAATTTCTTATATTCTTGGATAACTGCTTGTGTTCTTAAAGCTGAGGTCATGATAATATGGGATGGTATTTCACCCCAATTACAATCCTCATATTCATCTATTGTTCTCTGGTTTCCATCGGGACACAACAACATAAAATCCTGAAAAAAGTCAAATGTTTGACTGTTAGCTTCGTGGAACAAGACTGTTCAGTTAGTACTTCAATGACATTCAAAAAACTTACAAAATACTCAGAACTATCATTTATATATACAAGACATTTCGCATCATACAGCTAACACTAGTTCTCTGCTAATGTAGTTTCTGTTTTTTCTAACAAGGTATTTGATTGCCAATAGGCCTATATTCAACTCACATCAACTCAATTCCACTACAGATATTATTCAAACATTTTATATTTAAAATTAAATGAATGGAGTTTTACGTCCTACTTTTCTGTACAATGTGGGCTAATGAAGACGGGTACTTAAAGCTTAGCAACATATGTTGTACGAATTTTAAACAAGAAAAGTGCTTAATAATGTTAAGGTATTAGACGAAGTTTGACATTGTGAAGAGGACAAAAATGGTCCAACACTAATTTCACTTACATCAGGAGAATAAGTGATAGATAGAGCAGTCATCTGAGCTACAGTATCGTGTCTAACAAACGTCAGATCACCACGACCTTCAGCTACACATTTAAACGCTCCTTCAAACCCAGCAGTAGGATCACTGGTAGTACATCTTTCTTCAGCCATTCCACTACATAGATGACATACTGATGTCGGGTTATTTCCTAAAATCATTACAAAAATAAATAGATTATCTCCTGGTCGCCTGCATAATATGTTTGTATAGACAATCTCCCCGGATGACTAGGCTTTATATAAGGGAATGGAAACAATCTATTTCACAAGCAGAAGCGCCATTGAATATTTTGGTTTTTTGATTTTCTGATTTTATAGGAGCGTTAAAATCTTCAACCAAGTTTTTCTCAAAATGGAGATTTTGGATATAGTCAGTTCTGGCCCACGCTATTTAATAGGCAAGAAGCATTAATAAAGTTATCAAAGAAAACCTTCGTAAACTTGAGTCAAACAATCATCAACATGACAAGAAATCACATCTTTCATAAAAAAAAAATAATGTTTTGTATCAAAGCACTAGCTTATATATAATAAAATGCTCAATTTTAAAGAAATATAGTCATCAAAAGACAAATTTATAGTATCTCGATAGAAAAATGATAACTTCTATCCGACAATTTAGCTCACACAGACATTGCACTCATATTCCACAAAGTGACGACTTACCAAAAGGATTATAAAAGGAAGTCAAAGCACCAGGTAGACACATCTCACCAAAGAAACTGGTAACAGACTTGACGACTGCATTACATTCAGTAACTGGTATAACATTATCATGGAGTAGTCTAGATATAGGATATAACCATCCAGCACTCATACCAATACCTACAATATAATACACTTTTATAGTAGAGGCAGTGTCATATTAAATCATATTATATATTTTGAGATATTTATGTAATTATCTAAAAGCAGAGTTAAAATTGATATTCAAGCTTATAAACTAATGTAAAGTATAAATGTGCTGTATAGAGAGTAACTATTTCACTTACCAGTAAAACAAATTCTTTTTTGTCTCAATGTTGCCATAGAAACATCAGTTCCCTTTTTATAAACAGCTACAGAATAATATGAAGGTTTTTCAATAGGAGCTGAAATAAAAAGGGGAATTCAATTGTAAGAATCATAGTTCTGTGTGGTCTATTTTCTGGTGGATTCCTTTGAATTCAGACATTTATAATTAAAATGTTTCTGCTATTTACAAGGATGATTTCCTTATTTCAAACCTAAACAGATTTGAAGCAGTTGCAGGCCAGTACAGGTACAAGGGATGGGGCATTTGCCCTCCTAATTGTACCTTATTGAGTCATTCTGCCACCTCAGTCTGGTGCCACTAATTTGAAGCCTCAATGTAAGGAAATTCTGCAAATACTAGGAATTCTGAATCATTGGTTAAATACAATAATCACAGCACAGGTCTACATTTTGGATGTCAAATTACATGACATTTATTTCATAAAAAAAACATCTTACCATCAATATAATTCTCAGCCATTAATGGCATCATATTGTGATTTCTTCCAGCAAAATAACCTTGACCTGGATCCAAGGTCATCAGATCAGCTTCATCTTGGTCGATCAGTTGCATACAGTGAAATCTGAAATGAAAAAGACCACAAAACCCACTCATTTCTTTGCCTATTGCCTTAAATTGTCAATCTATTGGTTGATGTCAAAGAATAAGGATTAGTATTGGATGTTATAGAAGATATACTCTCCTTTAGAAATACCACAATATTAAGATCTATTATTGTAATATAGTCTCGACCTACAGAAATACTGCTGAAGGATTGAAAAAAACATGAGAAAATTGTTTTGTTATCTTGCACTTAATAATGGAATAATGCCACACAATTCACTTAAGAAAATGAATCTCACAGTTATTTCTATAGTTTTTTATTCAAGATATAGCAATAAATTCAATTCTAAATAAAAAACAACACTTACACATCTACACCTTGTATACATTCAAACTTATCAGGTATATCAATGGTTATCTCAGGTGGTAGTATCTCTATTTTAGATGTTAAATTTCTCTTTAAAGCAAGACATTTATACTGTTCCATTTCATTAACTGTACACCATCTTGTTGCTGTAAGAAAAATATATTAAGAAATTATATTTTCATATTACTATATAGTTAAAACAAAAGATAATTTTGGAGTTATAATATATCTTGTGATAATTATCATTCAGAAAATGTTTGAGAAAATGTTTGCACCTCCTTGGAGCCCTGCTGTTAAAATCAATTTTCAGTTTATTACCAATTCAATACATGAAGGGAATTAACAAAGTTCGAATACTGAAAAAATATTTGGTCAGTGTTTTATAGAAGATACTCTCTTATAGAAGCACTGGCCAAGGTTACAAAAAGTTAGTTGAAGGCAGGAATTCACAATTGTAAGCCTTCTCCTTTAATGATTTAGAGTGCACTAGTTAAATTATAAAAACAACAACTGTAACTTTTAACAAAATAGTGAATAAAAACAACATTATAATACATAAATATGCAACAAAACTGGTAATTTCATAAAATTGGTAGTTTGCAAAGTGGCAAGTGTCCCGAGTACAATAATTTGATAATCAGAGTTTAATTGACAATAACACTTCAAGAAGGGGAAAATTATATTTTGATGAATACTGCTTTCAGAACCATTGAAAATCTTAACAGTTAATTTCAAAATAGTTTTGACAATAATTTTGCAGAAATTCTTTAAGTAAATCAGCTAAACCTTTATAAAATATAAAGATGTCAGGTTACACATTAAACAGGAAACTGTAGGACTCTATCGAAAGGCAATGAGAATATACCATATTATTTGGAATCATTGAGAAAAAAAAACATCAGAAAACTGTGAATTAACAAAACAAACTCAAACATAAAAGTGTGCCATAACAGAAGTTCATACATACCAAGGTTTGCTCCATCTGTAAGGTGTGCATTGAAAGATAATGAAATATAGTAAAGGAGAGTGCCAAAATATATATCTAAGTTATAGAACTGCAAAGCACCTGATTATAGGTTATTCTTTCCAAGCAAAGAAGTACATGTTAGTCAAGCACTGGTATCTAATTTCTACTTCCGCAGAATTGAAAGACAATGATATTCAAGAGTACAGGAGATAAAGCTGGCAAAGAAAATCAGACCTCTGAGATACATGGTAGTTGGGGGTAGAATACTCATAATCTAATGGGTTGCTTTTTAATTGAAGATGTTGTTAGTAGACAAGATATGTATTGATTATGTCCCCCAAGAGAGGAGGCTGGCCTGGCATTGAATTGATGTGTTCTAATCTTTGCAATGACTGGATTTAGCTTCAGAGAACTAAACTATATAGTAGACAGAAGCAGTTTTGAACTCTAGAAAGACTCTTACCCCAAGTATATAGGCCCAATCTCCTTTCATTTTGACATCTTCTTGAAATAATCCCCAATTTCAATAGTCAAACAAGTGCTTAAAACTAATTCTCTTCCTATCTAACATAAAGCTATTCCCTGAACCATAAAGCAATATATGAATTTGGAAAGTTATCTAAGCAAAAGGCTAAGCAAGTCTTGTATCTTGAGTTATGTATGAATCATTCAAAGTGACAAAAAGTATATTTGAAAAAGAGGGTTTTATACAGCAGTATATTTTGAAAAAAATGGAATTTTACCTCTTTGAGAATTAACAGTGACAAAGATTAGTACCAAAACTCCAACAATATGAAGAATATTCATACTGGATATCTTGAAATTTTTCATTTTACCAATATTTACAACATTGTATTTACCAGTCCGCCATTAAACTCAATACACCTGTAATGTAACTCCGCTATGAAATATAGTCCCAGGTAAGCACCCCAGTAAAGATTGTTCCTGTGAAATTCAGTGTCTCAACTATATCAATAACTCCGATCTTGTAAAATTTTGCAAGGTTCGATTTAGAGCGGACAAATAACTTTTTCTAAAATTTCAAACAGAATTCTTTAAATATTTGGATGCAAAATTGTGTATGAATATTTATAACGGGTTACTCACCTGTACGGTGTACAGGTAATTTATGAACCTACATGGTATAGTCCGGGTGCCTAGGTTATAGATTAATGTTAAAAAAGAATTTTCACTCTAGATTTGCAATTATACTCGAGCAATTGAAAGATTAATTCTTAATTTATTGTAATTTCCTGATTACTGTGTGTACTAAATCTCCTTTTAGTTATTGAATGTATAACTGGGCTCTGAACTCGAAGTGTAAATAGAATATCACCGGTGAAAAGTAGTGCGCGTTCCAATCGAATGACACAAAATTTCTACTTCAATATTGTTTTAATTTCTATAAAATCGCGTTTTTAAATACATTACAAAGTAGATTGTAATTGAGATATTTTTCAACAATATGCTAATAATAGGCTTTAACATTTATCGTGTTAAAGGTATTCATGATAGCATTGAAACAATATCTTAACATATTGTTGTAGTCTGAAATCACAAAATTTAATCAGAGTTGCCTCCCATGGTACAGCAAATTATGTTCTATGATGGATCATTGTACTCGTTTGTTTGAAAATGAAATGAATGGATTTTACGTCCTACTTTTCTGCACCATGTTGGCTAATGAAGATGGGCAACGCCATGTAGAGTGCAACGGGGGAAATTTTGCCAGGACATTATCCTGTTCTTTATCGATTTCCAACTGTCGAGGGATCTTTAACGTGCACAGCCTGTTGCACACGGGGCCTCGGTTTATTGTCCCATCCGAACACTAGACGTTTTTTCCATGTCAGCCCCTCTTACCTGCATCACTGACAGGGTAATATCACCGAAGGTAATATCTCGACCTATGCCGGGATTGAACTCGCTTGTTTAAGAGCATAGACCAATACAGTCCTAACTTTTACTACCACTTGGCGGTCATTACAGCCAAAACTGGAATGTGATGGTTCATTACTCTTTGACAGATATGATACAAATTTATATTGCACCTTGTCCCCAATAGACAATACCTCACTAAGAAGGTACTATAACTTGACCAGTTCTTGGCACCCTGGTATTAGATTTCATGTTCTAAATTTAGTACAAGGTCTTTCTTCACTGGTTTAAATTTGAAATTTGGTTCTCTTGAGCAAAACTCTGTTTGATTTCTTTTAAAAGAAGGAGGTCATAAAATTTCAGAAATCAGAATCCTATAAATCAGGAATCTTAACACACGAATCTGATCACTTTAGAAACACAATTTCTATATTTGATAAAATTTTACAATTTTTACGAAAGCTGCCAAGTTTTAGCATTCTGAAACCATAAAAAAATTATTCAGATAAATAGAGGTGTCCTTCAAAATTATACTAAATAATAATTCTAGTGCATACTATTTCAATTTACTGAATGTAAAAGTTCAAATTGTGTATTCTGATTGATTTGCGATAATTTGACAGTACCTGGCAATATTTTTATGACAATGTTCGTAAAGGAAATGCATCCAAATGTCCAAATCTGTGTTCATAAAATTATCAGTATAAAATAGGGTTTCTCAAGTAAATGAGCTAAATTGCTGCTTTTCATGTCTGAAATTGCAAAAAGATCCATAGATGGTCGATGGGTCCCCCAGAAGGTGATGGGTATGGGGTGTTTTTAACGGCTAATAACATTTAATGTTGTTTACAGTAATTTACAGTAAAATACATTTAGACAGAAACAGCAACTCATTGTGGAACATACACGCATACTGAGTAAAGCAAACGTCGCGGCGCTGGGTCTGTAGCCCGATTAAGCGGCTGCAATGGAGTCCAGCTTTTTGTTATTTTCCTTTTTTTTTCACTGTTTGCTCATATTGTTTTCAAAGTCTGTCGTGTGCCAATTTGCAAGTGCTGATGCCCCACCAGTTGAAAAAAAGTTATTGAATTATTTCAAAACAAGATACAAAAGAAACCAATGAGTAAATGGAATTGTTCTAAAAAATAAGGAAAGTTGATATAAGAGAGGTCATAAAGATTTGCATGTATGTAATATGATACTGGTCAAACATAACAGAACTAAATTTTGAATCTTTAATTGGGCAGATTTATTGTGGTGTTAAGACCTGATGACATATTGTTTACAGTAGACATACCAACTAATTATAGTCACTGGACCATGGGCAGTACAGAATACTCTTTTTTTGGTAGTAAAAGTTAGGACTGAATAGGTTATTTTGATTAGGAAAAATTCGTGGAAAGGCGAATCTGCATATTATATCAAACGTAGCCTATTATTTGTCGAATTTATATGTTAATATAAAGAAATATATTTTGCGCTAATTACAAATACGTCTCACACAGGCTACTGTCTGACGGTTGAGAATCTGTCGTTGTTTCTTGCATTAAAACAAAAAGAAATTTGCGCTAAATACAAATACGTCTCGCTCAGACTACTGTCCGGCGGTTGAGAATTTTGCGATTTTCGTGCTTTTTAGTACTTCTTAAGGCTATTAAAGCACAATAAAGACCCAAATCAATTCCCGAAAATTCCGACTGTTCTTCTTTAAACAGATTTCTTGTCCACAACGATTTCAAGAAAGCCTAGCGTTTCAACACGAATGCGATGAGAGTTTAAAAATCATTTTCAATAAGATTTACCTCCCGATTTGTTCGTGTCTTAAGGTGGGTTTATACAGAGCGCGAACGCGAACGCGACCTGCGCGAACGCGACCGCGAACGCGACTTTTCATCAGTTCAGTCATTCAAATAGAGCGCGAACACGAACGCGTATTAAGACGTTTTTGTACCTGTGGCTTTCTTGATTAGATTCGTGAGCTGAAAGATTTACTAGCCGATAATTGCAGATCATTTGACACGTGCAATCCGCGCCTTGTTAAATTACGACATAACTGATTACATTAGCCACAAATCTTATAAATATTTATCGACTAGTTTATTCATTTGTTAATAAAGGTTTAGCGGATTGTCGCCCCTGATTTCGCGTGTCTATCAACTACTTAACTTCCTTGCACGTGCAATTGGTCACGCGCATATGTTGCATGTTAGAAGTGACACGAGAAAGACGAGACGTTTCGAAATAAACATCTGTCAAAAGTTTTAAACATTTATTACTGTTCCCAGCCAGCAGCATATCTTAGATTTTGAATATGTAAATTTTCACATTTTGCCGTAAAATTTGGTTAGCTATTTAGTAATGGTTCCGAGGCACTCTCCTTTCTTATGAAACTATTAAATTTAGACAAATACGATACAAAAAAAAAAGATCAGAAATTTTTATAATTTTTTTCTATCTTTCTCAGAGTATGTTATTTTTTTCTTACACACTCTCTCTTCTTATGAAACTATTAAATTTAGACAAATACGATACAAAAAAAAAAATCTAAAATTTTTATAATTATTTTCCATCTTTCTCAGATTCTGTTATAATTGTATTATTACACAGAAGATTTTCACATATGTTCCTCTTTTTTCTCTCTTAAAAAAATGAAAAGGGATAATGACGACACCATTGATTCCAAAAGAGATTTTAAAGGAATTGAGAATGGTATTTGACCAGTTGTCAATCAACAGTTCACGTGATGTGTTGATGTTTGCTAGTATACGTGTTTCTCCTTTAAACCATTTAACATCTATTATGGCCGAATTCAATCTCTGTTGTTTAGAAAGCTATTTGATAAGTTGATGAAAGATAGCCAAAGTAGATTACCAAAACCCGTTGATTTCTAGTCATTAGCTGAATGTAAACATCGAGTCGACCTCTAGAATTATTCATTCGCTCCATACAGTATATTAGAACTGCACATTCATCAATTTGGATAAATTTCGAATTGTTCATTTGTTGTATTAAGAATTGTTCATTGTTGTATAAAGAATTGTTCAATTGTTGTATAGAGAGTTGTTCAATTGTTGTACAAAGAATTGTTCATTTGTTGTGTAAAGAGTTGTTCATTTGTTGTATAATTCATTTGTTGTATAAGGAGTTGTACATTATTTGTATTATCAATTGTTCATTTTTTGTATAATGAATGCTGTATTTAGTGTGTTTGGTGTGTATTTGGTGTGTTAAGAATTTTTCATTTTTTGTATAATGACTTGTTCATTTTTGTTTAATGAATTGTTCTTTTCTTGTATCAAGAGTTGTTCATTTTTTTGTATAATGAATTGTTCATTTTTGTATAATGAATTGTTCATTTGTTCTATTAATAATTGTTCATTTGATGTATCCTGAATTGTTTATTCTCTGTATAATAATATGTTGATTTTTTGTATCAATAATTATTCATTTATTGTATTAATAATTGATCATTTGTTGTATAAAGAATTGTTCATTTGTTGTATAAAGAATTGTTCATTTGTTGTAGAAAGAATTGTTCATTTGTTGTATAAAGAATTGTTCAATTGTTGTATAGAGAGTTGTTCATTTGTTGTATAAAGAATTGTTAATTTGTTGTATAAAGAATTGTTCATTTGTTGTATAAAGAATAGTTCAATTGTTGTATAGAGAGTTGTTCATTTGTTGTATAAAGAATTGTTCATTTGTTGTATAAAGAATTGTTCATTTGTCGTATAAAGAATTGTTCAATTGTTGTATAGAGAGTTGTTCATTTGTTGTATAAAGAATTGTTAATTTGTTGTATAAAGAATTGTTCATTTGTTGTATAAAGAATAGTTCAATTGTTGTATAGAGAGTTGTTCATTTGTTGTATAAAGAATTGTTCATTTTTTTGTATAAAGAATTGTTCATTTGCCGTATAATGAATTGCATTTGCTGTATAAAAACACAAACTGTTTATTTGCTGTATTTAGAAAAAAAACCTGTT